ATAAAAATTTACCACCCTAATACATAACTATTTTCGACCCGACTGTGAGACGTTACAGTGGAAACTGAGGTAGGAGAAAATGTGAACGCAAATTAGGGACCACACTCAGGACTCTATCAAACAAGACTATCAAATAAATGCCTCGTTGGGGGGCCCCTATTATTGTACTGAAGAATCAAGGACATAGTTTAAGTTCGCAACTCATAACCTATTCAACGTCTACATCTGATTCGATTATAAAGATCGTTTTTGCCTAGGTGACCTTACGTTTATCCCCCTCCCCCCCCTTCCACCAAATTACCCTCAGGTTTCCAATGCAATAGAGATCTATGTACAAACGATACAGAGTAACTTCTATGTGTCTGTTTAGATACAAGGGATTTTTTCATATCAGCAACAAGAACGTCGAAACTGAGTATGTTTGGTACTATTCGCCGCAACTCGACAAGGAGACTAAAACAGCGTATAGCACCCGGACGATGTGGACTTTCGAAGCTGGGGTGCGGTGGATTCGCGAACGGGAGCTGATGCCTGCGCCACCTAAGTGCTTCACCTTTGCGATCCGCTCTAATCCCATGGATAGCAACAACGAAAGCTTCTCTATGGAACATCTACAACTATTTTTTTGCACGCTTTTCTTTGGTTATTTTTTAAGCCTAACCACTTTGGTGGTAGAACACATTAAATTTCGGTGCATTAACAAAAAAAGAAATATTGCCCAAATAAGGAAAACGCCCATATCCATAAAGAGAGGCATCGCGCTTAACGCGTCTAAAGTAATGACACGAGCGGTTCCGCGTAGCGCAAGCCCTTGACTCAGAAAACCAATTCTAAAGAATATAAAAGGCCATAATTAACTCTACCTTTATAGTCTTAGGAGTATTTCAGGTTTCCGACGCCAGTATCGACTCAGCCCTACGTAGCAAGCCTAGAATGTTCAGGCACTTGTCGGTAATTTATTTCAGTACCTTGAATATCTTATAGTTGTGAACCTTATTTACAAGAGCGTATAGGTTTATGTGTATGATAGGGCAGCATAAAAATTTCGATCGCAATTCTCAAACTTTTTTGTGTTTTTCCCTATTTCATCAGGATATCGGAGATCTCAATAGCCGGAGGTCTTTAGATGTTCACTTCCTTTTAACTTACTATAGGTAATACATGCTATAAGAACCGACTTACATTGCTAACTGAACTATAATAACTTCACACATTTAAGTCGATTGTAGTTCTATTAATGAGCTACAACGCTTCTACTCATGACTTACTACTTGAAACTTCTGAATAAAATGCGCTCAAAAAAGAGTCATCCACATAGTTCTGTTGTCTTTCATCATGCCCGCCTTTAGCCCACGTTTTTGCTCTTATGGTCATTCAGAGTTGCCGTGAGGGCTAGATTCAATATGTAATGATAGTCAGCTCAGCGGAAGTCGACTTGCGAGGTAGAAGCTTCATTATTATTTTTGAGTGAGGTAAGCGCTAACGTCGACGATTTCCACTAACCGATGAATAGCTCCGTAAATTCCTTGAAAATGCATTTGTCTATATATTTTATGAACTGCACAAAAAAATGCCGGAAGTCAATATAATGCCGTATTTCTCAATTCGAGGACTACTACTTAATTCTACCCAAAATTCAGAGGCAATAACACGTCACCAATTGTCACAGATTTTCTATAATTAACAATCCATTGCTGAGCGAAATCTCAATTCATAGTTTGTTTCAGAATATCTAGCCCATGAGGGATTCATGCGTCACCGTGTACATGAGCAGATGAAGAACCGCTGCCGTTTACGCCATGATTGTTTGGAGGAAAAAGACACTTCGAGATATTTCTTCAACAATCAAGATAAAAACACAGCAAAAGATACCATATTATATTTTTAAAATCATTTTTTATAAATGCAACGGCTGGGTATTCGAACCTATACCTAAATGACTATATGGATAATATTTTAGTGCAGTATTATAGTGTTTGCTCACTTACATTCGAGGCGTGTATTTGACTCTAAGTAAACACACTTTTTTTTTCTGTTGTTTTTTTTTTCTCAAATTTGCACTAGCGTAAAGCACAGTCTAAACGCGGTAAAGTTCTGAGCAACTAAAAAAAGCTGTTCAATGTAGTTAGCTCTGTTTCTAACTGTTCGTGCCGAACCCTCATACATAAAACTTATATATCCCTGAGCCGGTGCTGCACGAAGCAGTGCCCCTACAAGGGACAGCTGCATAACCAGCTATGGAAAAACGTTCTAGAGCTTCAATATTACATTTTACAACCTTCGATATTTAGCAACATCTTCAAAAGATTTTGAAGCTAGACGTCTTCGAGTCGCGAGTTACGCTAAAACAAAAGTGGTTTACAATATTCCACAAATTCTGTTTGAATGTATAAGATTTGACAGTGTTCGACGTAATCAAAAACGCCGTCTTCATCATTACTATTTTATAACTTATAAAATAAAGTAAATAAAATAGGCAAAAATTAACTATTATACTGTTTTATATATATATAGTGAGCTTAAATGCACAAAGATCAATTTTAAAGATTGATAATGAGTTCTAGTATTATTAATAATAATATAATTTAAGTCATTATTCGCCATTTAAGCCACTAATAGGACCTCTACCCCTTTGTAGGCTTGATCTAAGCTCATTTATCAGGCCACGTTAGGAATCACTTCCATAACAATAGTTCGCTCATATAAATGACGATGCTGAGAAGAGCAATACGCAACAAAGAACGAAACTCTTGTCAAGCCAAATATAAATGTATGAGCTAACAGATTAGCAAAATGTCCATGACGCATCCACGATATTTAGAGATGCATCCGAGCGTATATACGAGCGTACGTGCTTATTTCCCTGTCAAAAACTCCTTTCCTACAATAGAAAGCTTCTTAAAAAAATACTCTTTCAGAACAAGTTATACTGCTTCATTTTTTATTAAGTACATACAAAGCAGGTTATATGGAAGCTTACATGTGAGAGCTTTACTATGTACCTTGTAGAAATAACAGGTGAGTAGGCTGAACAGTACCGGATCGATTCGAGAAGCCCAACACACGTCGTTAGTTCTGGCAGAAAGATGCAATGTTTTGATATTATATCATCTGTTGCTGATATATTATACAGGGTATATTATGCCGTACAGTGGTACTTCACGACTTTTCGACTAATATGCGAATCCGTAGGCAAAGAAAAAGTGAAACGCAGTCAATAGGTACTTTTTTTGTGTGTGTATCCAATACTTAGTGCTATTCGGCGCTGCTACAGGGCCTGCTACGATCAGGGGGCTTTCAACTAACGATTTCCTCAGTTGTCGGTCTCAGTTGTTCGTATGAATTGATCAATGGTAGTCTTCTAACCTCGAGGGTTCCAACGAAGGCGTGCCTCTGGCCCTACCTTTTAACAGTTGACGCTATTTATTTGAGTTGTGAAATCGTTTATCGGATAGCTCATACCCGGGTGCGATAATAAGGACGCACTCATCAATGTGCGTTCTTCGGCAAGCGGGAGTATTGCGCAGTACTAATCTTCACCCACCAACGGCTCTTGGTATTCCTATCGGACCGTTTAACACATGTAACCCAATAGACACCTTTTGAGTGGAATTTTTGTCGTCGATTTAGCTATTCTCCGATTGGGCAAACGTCAATAGCGAGATTAACCATACGGCCACGCCATTTGCTGTCGTCTTTGTTGACACGAAGTTCAGTAGAGGTAACTTCGCCTCCGTCGAATGCCGTCAACGAAGAGACAGATGCCCCAAAGCCTGTTCAGCTTCTGAACACCATTTATCATTGTGCTGTAGGTGGTATGATAACGTTACCGTTTTAGGGTTCTGCTACTTTTTCGCCGATGTTTATTTTAGTTGCAATTTGAAATGATTGGTCGGATCAAAACGAAGCCTGTACTGCTATCGTACGTTCTAATAACAACCCTGGCGACAACAGCCGCGGTAATCATGATGGTGTTATGCCAGTGGACGAGTTTCATTGCACGCTGACTGAAGGTTCGTACAGACTTTGCATAATAATAATAATAACAGGCTCAATCCAGACAGACGGGACCTACCTATGCCTGCTCAGATTGCAGTCAAAGTACTTTATGTCTGGCAAGACATGGAGTCATGAAGAGCGCAGGCCTTATTTGTAATTATTGTTTTACTACAATAATATCTCCTACGCTGTACAACAACGTGAAGTTTTTTGGTAACAATTCGTTATGTAAACGACTGGATCTTGAGTTTAAAAGCTACTTTATAGTACTACACCAATGTGCTTTTAAGCTTCTAGTAAGCCACACAATGACGACGGTAGTACTAAAATTATCGATTCATGTCCTTTCTTATTCAGAAGTTATTCTATTATGTGGATCCGATTATTTTTACATTAATTATAGTAACAATTATCTAGGGCATCGGTTCGTTTAGTAGTATCCATTTTTGTGCTGCCAAGAACTGAATCTCTTCTTTTCTTTAATACAGATCATCTAGATTATGTACATACCCCTGACGTAGACGCGCGTGCTTCACGGCATATATGCAATGACCGGGAAAGATGATGCCCCTACAAACCATAATAATACACAATGCTATTGTTGCACAGGCGTTAATTTGGTTTATACGTTTCCGTCGAATGAGACAGCTATAAAGTCGATGTTTTACATAAAAAAAGAAAGTCACCGAAAGGCCTGAGATATAAAATTTATGAAACGCATGTAATATGGCCAGCTTGTACCTCGTCTAAATAGATTGTCTATGTTTATTATTTATCTACAGGCAAACACGTGGTAAAAACACCCGGGCACAAACAAAGCCGATAACATTTGACATGAGACAGCGTTGTCTGCATCAATGACGCTGTTTCTATCGACTATTGGGATAAAAACTTTTTATCTTCACACTGTTTCATGGTAGTACGAAGGCAAATATATGTGTCGATACGTGTATTAAAGTATTTGAGTAGTTCATTATATCGAGCTTTTTTTACAGGCTTATTAGACACAAGACGGACCTAAATCCCCGGACCGGCTGCACATCGTAGTGGTACTACAACCTATCTAGAACGACCACTGAATAATACTTTATATGTAATAATTATTCGTTTAATGAAAAGTAGGCAATAAACAACAAATAGGATGGTCATGCAAGTGGGTACAGAGTAAGAGGCAAAATTACTATATATCTATATAATTCCTGGTCATAATGGTCGTCTAGCGTTAGAGAGGTGCTTCCCCTTATGACGTGTCACTCTCGAATTTAGAAGATCGACTATGTAAAGTACAAAACCAGATTAGGTAAAATATTCCCCGAGCTGATCTATCCTTTGAGAAAAATAATGAAGAGGTATATCTCTTCAATGTTTACTGATTTTTTCAGCTATAAATGAAATTCAATTAGTCGTCTATTGTAATACGAGTATAAATTATTGGGGTGGAAAAAAAAACCAAAAAACACTTGTATTATCAAAAAGTATTGTTTACAGAAAGACAGAGCACAAGATTATTGAATCAAATAAAAAAGTCGTTATATACCCTATTTTATAATTTAATCACTAGCTATAATCTTATTTTTCATGTTACAAATTCAATAGGTTTGCCCTAATGAAGTTAAAGCTACAGATACGTGTGCTTTCTATTGGACGCATCTTCCAGATAGCCGCAAGTTACAAAATTGCATTTACATTCGATGTTGTAGAAACTCAGAAAACTTAACATAAGAATAGAATAGAACATAAGAATAATAAGATATTTATGACCTAAATATAAATTATCTAATGTTGTACGGGGTTGACTTCGCCAGTGGGTTACATGGAACAGGGCCAGGCATCGGTCATGGTGTCATTGTGAGTCTTTTTTTCCGCTATTTTTTCTCGTGAGATCTATTCACCGTTAGATGATAAACGGGAGGC